TGTTTACATGTTTTTACATTGTACTTTTACAAAAAATCCTGCATGTAATTACAGCTGTAATTGTTTTTTTGTTATATAATTACACTATTGACCCTTCCCTTATGCCTTAACTACACACACCACCAAACCAGTCCCTAACCATACTCACATCCCACCTCAATAGCAGAAATATAGTTTTGCAATGCAACATGAACACAATAAGGTACGTTGTACCTAACATTTTTAATAAAAGTTTTACTGATTTTATATATCAATCCTTTTAGATCATTCACAACATTTACCACTTTAATTGGGATTCATTGATGCATTCATTCATTTCTCAATGAAAGTTCCTTGGGCTTCAAAACAAAAGAAACAGACGTATTGCAGTGGGAGGAATTAAATGGATTATACAGCTCATACTTGGCCTATAATGGAAGCACCTGTGTGTACATGTTTGAAGCTCCACACCCACAATAACAATCCACGCACCTATTTACTGATAAATTTACTAAGAGATGCAGCAGTTTAAGCATACGGTGTTCTAACATCATGTTCTTGTATCACTCAAATGCCAAACACATTCATATTTACATTTAACTGATTCATTAAATGTAACTGTAATGTACTCTATGGGGCGCTGGGGGGTCAAACAGACCCCCCAAACTTAAAGAAAGAACCAGTAATCCCAGTGTGCAGGAAGGAACTAATACCTGCACTTGTTACACTTGTTAAAGCCTGTGGTTTATGAGAAAGAAAAATGAGTGAAATGAAAAAAAGAAAAAGTAATACCCTATTGAGAGATTGAAACTCTATGGCTCAGTGCATGTGTATACTTCTGCTGCCTCCCACAAATGACCTTGAATGGAGCGTAGATCACATACTTGAACTTGAGTATTCCAAAACAGGTCACTGGAAAAAATGTTTCCTCCCCTTAACAACAGACACATTTTATCTCCGTAATGAAGACAAAGAGAAGAAAGTGTGCTTGTATCATAGCGCCATCTGTACTTTCATAAATGCCACTTGAGTAAATTATATGATTAGCAAAACATTCAAAATTTTATTCAGCCACTAAATTGTTTTCTAATCAGTTGATCTGCAGCAACAGTCTATCCCCTTTAAAAAAAATAGGCAGTAGGCCAACCATGGTACAGTGATCGTATCAGATGATACAGTGATGGTCAGTACCATGGTATTCTGACATAAAATACTGTATAATGCTATTTATAATATATGGTTGTCTACTCTCCAAGAAAAGGAAATCTCAGGAAAGGAGATAATCTATGATTTTGAGTAAAGCACACAAGTTTAGAGTTTGAAAGAAACAGCACTGACTGAACTGTTCAAGCGACTATGAATTCCACCCCCGTTTACGCGTTATTACGCAAAAGCACAGCGGCTTGTGATTGGTCGAAGTCTGCCCTCCCTCTTTTGAAGGTAACTTATTGAAAGAGCCGATGGGCGGAGTCTCGCCTCGACTATATATCTAGTGGGTACAACCAAAGGTACCGGGTACGACTTTGTCCTTTTTTACAACATTAAGGAAGGGGACAACATCGCTGTAAAGTCCACAAGGCCCGCTCAAACACCACCAAAAAGGGAACTAAATACCGAAAATGTCTGCAAAAAAAGAAGGTGACGGTGGATGGAAGAGCTTTATCTGGAATTCTGACAAAAAGGAATTTTTGGGACGCACAGGCGGCAGTTGGTGTAAGTGTTCTCAAGACTGTTTCATCAGCGCATCTTCTCTTGGATTAAACTAGTTTTTCTCATTTATTAGATTTTAATATTGATGTGTACCTACGTTAAAGAGAGGAGAATCAGCTACAGCGTGATTCCAGACTTGAGAAAAGTTCAGCACCTGTTTGATCTGACTGACTGCGTCGTGACTTTCGTTTTCAAAGGGGAAAAACGCCTCGAGATGGCGCCTTGCTGTTAGAACTAGATTATCATATTTGAGGTAGCTGCTAGCGTTATTCGTATAAACGAAGCTGATAGATGAACAGTGTTCTAGTGCGTTGAGTGTGCCGAAGTAATCGCGTTATAGCCATGTAACGACAATAATAGGTCAGTGGTCATAGATCAGTGAATCATTCGCGTGATGAACCACAAGGCGGTGAAATGGCATCGACGGATGAATGGAAAAAATATGAAAACAGTGCTTCACATAATATATTTTTATATTTGTTCAATTGTTTACTTAAATGTTAACGTTTAGGTCCATGATGGGGTTGTTTGAAAAGAAACAATGTTATTTCGTTACTATATGGATGTTATTACTGTGTAGGAAATATGTCAGTCATCTATATCTGAAATGGCCAGCAAGGACAATTTGCAATTTTCCAACCAATAAAACAGAAAATGTAATTGGATCGTAGGTTTGTAAGCATTAAAATGAGTTCAAAGCTAACGTACAACCTTCAGTGATCAGTTCATTTTGCTTATATCAACTACTAAGAAAATCGAGTATTGTGGCATGGATGGAAACAACATTTTCACAGTGAAGAGTAAAAAAAAAAAAGCTAATTTCAGTCATAGACAAATGACAAGAGAGTGTTTGTGCTGGTGACTATTTTCTTTCGTCAAGGTGACTCCCAAGTAATTTGGCTTGTTTAGATTAGATCATGGCCTACAGTTAGTAATATTGTTATAATAATAATAATAATAGCTTATTTAGTACTGTTTCTTCTTCCTGCCTTCATTTCAAATATATATATCAGCTGAGTTTGCCTGTTTTAATATCTCCATGCATTTAAAGCTGGAGACTGTAGTTTACAGTTTATTTATTTTTTTAATCAGTTAACATTTGTGTATCTCTGCCCTCTTGATAGATTGACTTGTGTGTAAGTTACATATGCTGCACTTGTAAATGGCTGTTAAGTTATTAAAAAGTTACTTTATCCACTAACCACGCGTTATAATAAAAGGCTTTTAATATGTAATAAGACTCAATAAGTTGTTTAAAACACATAGTTAACCAATGAAACGGGTGGAAAGATCATGAAACACAGGTTTGAGTTGAGTCTGACACATGTGGGAGTCCGTCACATGTAGCTTAGCCAGCTAGGCTCTCTCGCTGTGTTTTAAAGTTTTATTTAAAAATGAATAGAAATGTCTGCGAAACGTTTCGTAAATTTGTCGTAATATCGTAGACTTTAAATGAACGTGTTTATAATTTGGTTAAATGAATTTGGAAAATGCGATACAAACAAACCGAACGGTTTGAGAGAGCAAGGAGATGCTAGCGGTAGAGGAAGTAACGTTATAACTCATATGTTTTCATTAAAGCCCGTATTATTCATTTAAAGAGGAGTTTTTTTACTTTATTCTATCGGTTTAACACCTTTTTATTCTCTATTGCCATCGGCGATAATTGTTTATGGAAAGTTTTTCACTCTGGCGGCTGCCCTCAAAATACTGTAACTGGAGACTACATGAAAATAAAAAGTATTGTTACATGATTATTGGTTTTTGTGAAGCCTTAGGGAAACCAATGAGAAGTGTGAGAGACTGAATGACATAGTTAACAGCCAATAGAGGCGTTGCGTTCACTGTTTGCATGTGATTACTCTTACTCTTCGTGAAAGTGGTTTAAAAGCAGACATCCTATTAAAACAGACATCCTATTATTTGTACCCTCAGGGACAAGCTTCTATCTCTGCCCACACTGAGAGTATGACACATAAAACTACTGTTTGTGGGACTGGATTCAAACTCGAATGTGTTTCCTGTAACTGTTAGTTTTTTTTTTTTTTTTTGAGGCGGCAAAGGTTTTAGTGCCAGGGCTGAAGGAAAGGAAGTATAACCCCATCATCCACACACAGAAAAAAATGAACCTTGTGTTTGGTGGCAACTGGTTTGAAGTGGCTGTTGGGGCTCGCTTTCAATGAAGCCCACAGACTGGCACAGTAACTGACAGACAGGAATGCTATTCTGCAGGTCACATTCTGTTGTTGCGTCACACAGACACTGGGATTTCTGTTGTCGCAGTTACAGGAAAGTTTGGTTTGTTTTATGATTACTGGCAACTTTGCATAAAATGGCTGAGCTTAGAAGGCAGCTGGCTACCTTAGTTTGGAAAATTAGAATGGCCCAAGACCCACATTTTTGGCATGTTTGTGTTGGTATTTTGTATATTATTGGAAAAATATATATTTGTATGTCTGATTATTAAAACTGAATTAAAGACTCAATCAATGCAAATCAGATAAATGTTCTAAGAATTCTCAATTATGATAATAATATTATTTTAAATAATATCTTAATTTAGCGCTTTTCGAGTAATTTCGGATTTTGTTTCTCTTTATTCTTAGTTGACCAATAATGGCAGACAGGAAACAAGGAGCTGGCTGAAGTTCAGGAAATAGTGCAGCTGGGCATAAAGCCCATTGGAAATATTAACTTGTAGGGGATCTTTTGGTACCTTATGATTCCATTCTTGAAGCCACGATTTAATAAAAAAAAACTATTTTAGATTTTGACTTAAATTTTGATTTGATATGTGCATGCGTAGACTTGATTTTAGTTTCCCACTAAATTAAATGTGAACATGTTTTTCTTCCCATTTTAGTCAACCCAATATTATAAAACCAATGCCATTTAAGTTGACTGCAATCATTACACACATGACTTGCAGTCTCTGTAATAAAGCAAGGCAGGACATTTTATTTTATTTTTTATTATTAAAATAGGAACAATGAAGCAAATTACCAAAAATAGGACATATAGGGCTACAAATAAATAAATAAACAAACAAAATCAGACTGCAACAGTTTATGAGGCTGCTGTCCCTTTAATGGAAATCATTAGTTACACATCCAATTTTCTCCTAGCTGTTTACGTTCACGTAGGACACAACAGACTGTGTTTACGTGTGAATATTCCACAAGATGTGCATTTTGCTATAATTGTGTGTGTGTATTTGACCATGCTCAATAAGCTGTGAAAGAAAACTGAATTTGGGATTGTGTCCATCAGCGTGAGCACTGCATTGAATCCTTTTTCAGGGGTTATTGTGATTAATGACACTCTAACGTGTCAATCATTTTAAGTAGTACTGCGAAGTACATAAAGAAATGTCACACTTTAAGAATCAATACAAATCAGTGGAAGATAAAATCGCGATTCATATGTGAATCGATTTCCCCCCCAACCCTATTAACTCGCAATTCTGAGAAAAAGAATCAGAATAGTGGAATATAGACTTGCAATAGAAATGTGTGATATATAAACTCGTATAAACTTTATTTCTTGCAATCGTGAGTTTATATCTTGCGATTCTGACTTTTTTCTCATTATTGAGAACTCACAGTTGTAAGTTATAAAATCAGAATTGTGTGAGAGAGAAAACTTTCAATTGCGAGAAGAAAAAAAAGAGCCGGTCAGGGATGCGTTTCCCAAAAGCATCGTTAGCCAACTATGGTCGCCAACTATGGTAAGTTCCGTTGTTACCAATATAGTTCAATGGAAATTGCG